TGTGCGGCCCGTACAGGCAGCGCACGGCCCGTACGGGCTGCACCAGACCCACGCGCTGCCCGTACGGGCTGCGCCAGGCTCGCGCGCTGCCCGTACGGGCTGCGCCAGGCCCGCGTGCGGTCCGTACAGGCTGCGCCAGGCCGTCGCGCGGCCCGTACGGGAGACGCCCGACCCGCGCGCGGCTCAGGCCGCATGTGCGCGGCTCGGGCGTCCCTACCAGGCCCGTGGTGGGCCCGTTTCCTACCTTCCTTGCCCTCCCCACTGGTCCCAGTCCCTCTACTACCGCCCTACCCCTCCTACTCCCCATTCTCCTACTTTAGGGTTTGGGGGTGAGGGGTATGGGGGTGCCCTTACTAAGCTCCGCTCCCTGCTCCTCCTCCTCCTCCGTCTCCTCATGCTGCAGCTACCGCTGAGGGGGGGGGGTGATTGTGGTGGAGCCGGTGGAGTGATACTAAGGGGGGTGAAGGGGGAGGAGAGCTAGCGGTGTAGCAGTGGGTGTGTGCCAGGGGGAGTAGGACAGTTTGGGGAAGGTTGAGTGGAGGTTGCCAGCTTGTTGTCCGCAGCACCTGTAGTCCGGGGCGCTGTCCCGGTAGCCCAGTGAGCTAGACTTCTACGCCAGCCGCCCGTGGGTCCGTTGCTCGTCTGCCGCTACTTTAGCCGCGGGGCCTATTACTCCTATAGTCCGGGCGCTTAGTCCGGTAGCCGCTGTGCCAGTCCGCCTCCTGTTGCCCGTGTGACTGCAGCGTCAGCCGTCGCCTCCTATCTCCTCTCTCCTCACTCTCTCTCCTCCTCCTCGCTTGCCCGTTGTGACTACCACTAGCTTTGCTTATAATTGTGAACTTTAAACTATTGCTTCTTGAACTTGTGCTCAGAATGTGTGGTGACATTGTGATCCACCCTGAGCTTGTACTGCTTTGCTTGCTCTGCTGATTACACCCCACTTTGGCTATGGGGGTGTGTCAGAATATTATCTTATGTTCTCTAGCCTGCAGTGGGGTACTCTATAGCGAGTATAACCCCTTAGGGTTTCGTATATGTATCCCCTTGCTTGCTAGTGCAAACCCTCTCTTTTGCCTAACTTGTTTCTTGCCTAGCTAGGTCATTCCCAGCTATGGCTCCTTCCATTGCCTCAGTTTCTTCACACCAGGTGCCCTGAAGTTTCTACAAATCTTGCAGTAAAGGCGTCGCGGCTATCACTCTTATGTGTTGTTGGCGTAGAAGGCGAGGCGTTCCCGGTCTTGTCGCGGCGTTGGTTGTTGCTGGTCCATATCCCTTTGTTCAACGAGAAGGGCGGCGCATAGGGCTGCCTCTGAGATGGCCCCCTGTTGTCGGAGCAGCGCCTTGCAGGGTCGCCAATCAGCCCTTGAAGCACAATATTCACGAAAAAATCTTCGGAAATGTTGCTTCCCAACTTCGCGATTTGATCGCGTAAGCTCCGCCAGTGTTTAATGTGTCAGAATCCCAACCACTAGACCATTGGGATAAAAATGTTTGTTAAGTAGCGGGTCAGTGCGCCCATAACCCCCGAGGACAACGAGCCTGTAACCCTTCCCTACGATCAATCGGGGATCACCAATGGACCTCTGACACCCCCCCACACTGGGATGCCCGAAGTGCACATACCGGGATATGAACTCGAGACCTTTGCTCTGATACCATGTCAGAATCCCAACCACTAGACCATTGGGATAAAAGGGCTTGTTTGTGTAGCGGGTAAGTGCGCTCACAACCCCCTTGTCCAACATGCTTGTAACCCTTCCCTAGGATCAATCGGGGATCACCAGTGGACCTCTGACATAATGTAGCCGTTGGCCTTCTCCTTTGGGGCCATTTTTGTCTCTTGTAGCTGCTGGAGTAGGTGGCTCAATGAAACCGAATCTTTCAGCTGGTACATGCCGTTCTGATGGCGCCAAGAGTCGAGGGCTGGAGCATGTAAAGTCTTGTACGATCGAATGCTCAACTGCTCCGCCGGCAACATGTTCCGCAGGAGGATGCTGTACGACATTAAGGACTCGTGGTAGTGCTTTGCCCGGGCGTCAGCGGTATCCTCAGCGGGTCTCGAGTAGCTCCCGTCGAAATAGTGGAATATCTTCTAGTTTTGCAGCAGCAGCTCCATCTCGAAGCTCCACGTATAGAAGTCTCTGCCATCAAAACATGCACTTGTCTTCATTTTTTATATGCTAAAAAACCTTGATTGCGCAGAGAGAATTGCTTCTTCGCTGGGATGGGGAGTTTTAGGAGTTGAGCCATTAGTGTCGACGGAGATGGTGTGCGGGGCGGTATTGAGGTCGTTCGAGGCCGGTTGAGGGGGTTGGGAAGAAGTTTCCGCGTCGCCATTCCGCAATGTTTGGAGTCCTTGCTCCAAGCTGGTGAGTCGCTGAAGCATTTGTGCGAGGACGGCGGTTCCAATCGTTGTCGTTTCCTCGCTTGCCGTAGTTGGGTTGAGCTGCGCTTCAGCCGTCAGATTCGTACGATCACCATATCCTCCAGCCATTCTCACACGCGAGCGTGTGCCGGACGCCGCTTTCCATTCGCCGAGGATTCCAGAATGGGATATTTGTCTAGCCTGCAGTGGGGTACTCTATAGCGAGTATAGCCCAAGTTAGGGTTTCTTATATGTACTCAAATGCCTGCTAGTGCAACCCCTCCTTTCTGTTTCTAACTTTCTGTTATTGTTTCTGACATGCTATTAGAGCGAGATCGCTCCTGGCCTAAGGGCCCACTTACTTCGGGTGCTGTACTACCTGTCGCGCGCCTCGCGTGTGGGACGTCTTCTAACTGCCGCGCGCCTTACGCGCGTGGCGTGCGCGCGGCGGTTTTCTGCCCGCCACGCGCTCGGGGCGTGTGGCGGTTTCCTGCCCGCCACGCGCCCCAGGCGTGCGCGGCAGTTTCGTCGCCCGACGCGGCGCCCCGAAAGCCCGCGTGCTGTCCCCTCCCGTCGCTCGATGCGGCGCCCCGGGGGCCCGCGCGCTGTCCCCTCCCGTCGCCCGCCGCGGCGTCCCGGGGGCTCGCGCCCCGCCTCCCCTTCCGTCGCCCGTCGAAGGGCCCTGGGGGCCCGCGCGTCGCCGCTCCACTCCCGTCGCCCGTCGGAGCGCCCAAGGGGCCCGCGCGCTGCCCTGCCCGTCGCCCGCCGCGGCGCCCTGGGGGCCGGCACGTCGCCCCCCCCTCCCCCCCCCCCCCCCCCTCCGTCGCCTATCGTGGCGCCCTGGGGGCCTGCGCGCCGCCCTGCCCGTCGCCCGTCGCAGCGCCCCAGGGACTCGCGCGCGGCCTGTGTTTGGGGTATGGGGTGGCGGGTATGCAGGGTGGCGGGTGTGTGAGCCCTCCCCTGCTCCTCCTCCTCCTCCGTCTCCCACTGCTGCAGCTGCCGATGAGGGGGGTGGGTGTGTGGGAGCCGAGGAAGTCACGCTAGGGGGTGAAATGGGATTGGAGCTAGGGGTGCAGCAGGGGGTGTGTGAAAGGGGGGTGGGACAGTTGGGGGAGGTTGAGCGAAGGCAGCCGTCGTGTCGTCAGCAGCGCCAGTAGTCCGGGGCTCTGCTCCGGTAGCCCAGCGAGCCTGCTGCGCCAGTCGCCCGTGGGTCCGTTGCTCCTGCCGCTCGTCTTAGCCGCGGAGCCAGTTACTCTACTAGTCCGGGGCGCTGCTCCGGTAGCCGCTGTGCCAGCCGCTCCTGTTGCCCATGTGTCTGCAGCTTCATCCGTCGCCTCCTATCTCCTCTCCTCTCACAGTCCCACCTCCTCCTCCTCACTTGCCCTTTGTGAATGCCTCTAGCTTTGCTTGTACTTGTGAACCTGCTCTATGACTGCTTGCTGTGCTGATTACACCCCACTTTGACTATGGGGGTGTGTCAGAATGTGATATTTGTCTAGCCTGTAGTGGGGTACTCTATAGCGAGTATACCCCATATTAGAGTTTCCTATATGTACTCAACTGCCTGCTAGTGCAGCCCCTCCTTTTCGGTTTCTAACTTTCTGTTACTGTTTCTGACACGAGACGCTCTCATACCATGCTGCAATCAAAAGTTGATCGTCCCTAGGATCACCTCGGGAAGGTTCGCACACAACTCATTGGCAGTGGTGGGCCCTTGATCTCAAAGCAGAGTGAATTTAAAATGCTTGAGATGATTAAAACATGCAAATGCAAATGTATAAATAAGAGTACATGATGGAATAAGAAACGACCTGACTAGCCATGTACTCTAAAGGTTATATTCCCTTATTGCAGCGAAGCTTAACCGTGCGACTCCAGACAGTTGCGAACTGCCTGGGCAGAATCCTCGCCACTGATGCTGCCTGATGCTGTCTACCCTGACGGTCCAAATGCTTCGTAACCGTACGTCCCTTCGTCTCACTTCTGCCTTTTCGTCTTCAGCCTCGGTATTGCGTGCTTCGATTGCTGCGGTTAGGAGTGCACAATAATACTTCATCTTTTGCTATTCGTAACAAAGGCTATTCCGTAAAATAAGGGTAGCTGGTTAACTTAACAGAAGGCTATAGACTATTCAGAGTTGTGAAACACACAAACGCACGCAAACATCCAAGGTAAGTTTGGTAAAAGCAACTCTGCCGGAACACTACAGCATATTAGGTTAAAATAAATTAACATAGTGTTCAGATTTTCTAAGTAGTATCTGATTTGCTTTTGACGGGGACGCATTACTTGCGTTTCCGCGATAATAATTTCCACCCTTTCAACGCATAGCCTTTCTGCGAAATAGTAGGAGCCATACCTTTGGCGCAGTTAACGCATAATTGCGCGCCCCGCCCTCCTCTCTCCCTTGATCCATCATTTTCATACTCCCACCGACGCACGTACGCCAGCGACGCGACAGGCTTCAGCAGTCGAGGTGTCACAAGGGACTGAGTGTGCGCGGCATTTCGCTGCGAAGCTCACTCGTCGACCCAACAATGATCGCGGCAAAGCACACCGCTGCCGCCGCGCGACTTCACCGTCGCTCTCGCCGCAACTGGCGGGCAGAGCCACGGCAAGCAACGTCACGGCGTCCATGGCGTGGCACGCTCGGTCATCGTGGTGCGCATAAAGGGAGGTGGTTCCGCCTTGAGAAAAGCATCATCTTTCGCTTTCCTCCACCACGCACACCAGGAGCAGCTCCAGATTAGGAGAGAAGAAGCTCATCGAGATTTGTGACTTGAAGCGTCCAGCCGCATCCATTCAGCTCACCACGCGCTCCCAGCTGCGCGCAACCGTCGCCCCCAGCGTGCGTCGCACCAGCTCCTCGATTTCGCCATCCCGCCGCCACCATGGCCCGCCCACGTGGCGCGCGCGCGCCCTCGCCGCTGCTGCTGCTCTTCCTCGCCACCCTGCTGCCGCTGCTCGCCGCGCCGGCCGCGTCGGTGATGGTGAGCGCTGCGGGCTCGTGGAGTGGCGGCAGCGATGATCCCATGGGCAGCGACCCGTCTCCCGCGGCGTGGACCACCGGCAGCGACGCGACCGGCCTTGTGACCGGCGGGCCGCGCATGGCGCTCGAAGAGGGCGAGGGCGACGAGGGGGAGGAGATAGCGGACGGGTGGGCGCTGGGGGACGGCGGCTGGGGGGATGAGGAGGCGCAGGGGGAGGCGGACGTCGAGGAGCGCGCGGAGGGCAGGAGCCTGGCGAAGGAGGGCGCGGAGGAGGAAAGCGCGGCGGAAGAGATGGAGGGAGAGATGGCAGAGGGTGAGGGGGAAGGGGAGGAGGAGGAAGAGGGGCGCATGCTGGCTGAGGGCGACTGGGAGGAGGAAAGCGAGGCGAGCGAGGTGGGAGAGGAGGAGGAGGAGAGCGAGGAAAGCGAGGAGGGCGAGGAGGGAAGGATGCTTGCAGAGGGAGAGGAGGAGGAGGATGAGGAGGTGGACGATGGAGAGGAGGAGGAGGAGGAGGAGGAGGAGGAGGAGGAGGAGGAGGAGGAGGAGGAGATTGAGGGAGCGGAAGGCAGGATGCTGGTGGAGAGCGGAGACGTGGAGGAAGAGGAAGAGGCGGAGGGCGGGGAGATGGCAGGTGAGGAGGTGGATGAGGAGGAAGAGGGCAGAGTGCTGGCGGAAGTGGAGGACGAAGATGAGGAGATGGAGGGCGAGGATGTGGAGGAGGCGGAGGAGGCGGAGGAGGAGGGGAGAGCTCTTGTGGAGGACAGCGAGAGCGAGGAGGAAGCAGGTGGAATGGATGGTGATGCGGACGAGGGGGGTGATGAGGCTGACGGACTTGAGATGCCCAGGGAGCTTCAGGAGGAGGAGGAGGGGATGGAGAGTGACGAGGAGGAGGAGGTTGAGGATGAAGAGGGGGATGAGGAGGAAGGGATTGAGTTTCCACGTAAGCTGGCTGACGAGGACGAGAAGAAGGGCGAGGAGAAGGGGGAGAAGAAGAAGGAGGAGAAGAAGAGCGAGGAGAAGGGGGAGAAGAAGGAGGAGAAGAAGGAGGAGAAGAAGAAGGAGGAGAAGAAGCCGGGGGTGCTGAAGAGGACGGCGAATGCGATCAAGAGCTTCTTCAGGAACATTCGTGATCGCATCACTGGCAAGAACAAGAAGCCCGACAACAGCCCCCGCAAGGCAGGCCCCTCCGATGCCAAGGATGCCAAGGCCTAGGCTCTTTCACGAGGTGCATGGCGTGTGCACTTCCCACTCCATTGCTAGGAACGCCACAGTTACCGTCGATGGGAATAAGAAGCTAGAATGGAAGATTGGAGGGGAGTGGAAGTGCAGCTGATGGTACTGAAAGGTAGGCTTTTTCTGAGTGGTTGAGGTTGTTTTCTTAGGTTTCTTGCTTGTGGGCTGGTGGATGTGTGTCTTTGTGCAATTTGGCAATGTTGTTGGATGTTCTGTTACTTCATCTTATCTAAAGACCGAATATTTTCAAATGCTGAAAAACATGCAGCACCAGATCTTGCCCCATAATGAACAACTTCCTGACTTCTCTTGCCTGCTATGCATGTTTCCCCTGGTCTGCCTGCCCATCCCTTCACTCCACTTGACTCACTGGTCACTTACCCATCCCTCCGCTTCTCGTGCACTTGCAACAGGGTCTGAACAAGGGGCGGGGCCGACGGAGTGAGGAAAGGACTCTGATGTACCGTAATAAGCATCCTCGGCTTCAACGCACGTTCTTCTTACCTCCCTCGCATGTGCTACCACGTTAAACTCTTTCTCTGTGCTTCCCACTTAACTCCCTTTCCACGTGATCCCTACTCTCCTCTCTTTCCACATTAATCTACTGAACAGGAAGGAGTTTGAACAGGGAACAGGTGTACAGGTATGAAACCTTAGGAATGTTGTACACCCTAAGGCTAGCCCCAATATAGCCTAGCAAATTATAAACATAGAGTTTCGACACACCCTCATAGGCAAAGTGGAGGATAGCAAGAACAACAACGGTCACATGTGTTAAAATATGCAGGCAGGAATGATTGTATTGAGCAGCAGGATGAGTACAAGTATGAAACCCTAAAGGGCTGTACTCGCTAGAGTATGCCCCATACAACCTAGAAGCATACAAATGGATTTTGACACACCCCCATAGGCAAAGTGGGGGATAGCAAACACAACGAACGGTCACAAGACCAGTCAAGCAAAAGAACAAAGCAAAGCAAAGCTCAGGGTGGATCTCAAGGACACCACACAATCTGAGCACAAGCAAGCAGTCACAAGGCCAATTCACATGCAGAGTTATAATAGCAAGGCAGTACACTTATCACAACCTAGCAAGAGTAAACAAGCAGGTATAAAGATATATATATCAGTGTACAACAAGAGCAAGTCAAGGAACCAACACGTGAGGCAAAATGGGCACAAGTCCAAGAGCAGTGCAGAAACGCTGATATCGTATTACCCCGGATATAAGCGCACCTGCGCTTATAATAAAACAGTGTTGTTTGGGGGGGTGCGCTTATAATTGAGTCAAATTTATAAGCGCATGCGCTTATATAATGGCAAATACATAATTATGATTTAAAGCACCAAATTGTGCATCCCAGTACAGTTGCATTTTTAATCAAATTGAAATGGGCATCAGAATCGCGCGAGGGCGATTTTCTGCCGGCGCACAGGGGCAAGGACACGTCAAGCTTGCCCCGGCCCAGTGTATGAGCCATTCACAGTCGCTCGCTCAGTGCACAGCACCCACGGCTGTGCTGTCAGTCAGCTTCGCCCCAGGCGAGCATATGAGCCACTCGCGTGCAGTCGCTCGCTCGCAGCGCACAGGCACGGTCCCTTTTTCCACCCACCCCCCCCCCACTTCGCCCCGAAAGGGCTGTCAGTCAACGGCTTCGCAAGGTTCCGCCTTTCCTGATCGAATCGCCCGTGCTCAAGAGAGTCAACCGAAGTACGGTAGAAATGGATGTGGGTGGACTCGCTGCAAAATAGGGAATCGTTACCGTTTTAATCATGATTTAAAATAAAAAATTTACATGCGCTAATAATAAATCAAGGTTTTACAGGGGGTGCGCTTATAATTGAGGATCGGCCATAAGCGCATTGCTCCAGATACAAGCGCATGCGCCTTTAATAGGCCTGCGCTTCTATCCGGGGCCATACGGTAATCACCAGACCCAGGGGCCTTGGTGAAAACATCAGCAGTGTTGGCCCAAGAGGCCACGTAATCAAGGCGCAGCTGACCACGCTGTTGCAACTCACGTGCAAGGAAGTAGCGAAGAGCAATGTGCTTCGTTCTGTGCTCCAGTCTCTGCTCTCGACACAAGGCAAGCATTGCCTTGTTGTCGACTTACAGAACTGGAGGAGAACAAGGCCGCTCCCCCACGTCGGTCAGCAGGTAGGTCAGCCAGCGAAGCTCCTGTGCAGCCATGGCCCCAGCGTAGATCTCGGCCTCACAGCTAGAACCAAGCACAGAAGAAGAACGAGTGAACCTCCACGAGACAGAACCAGAGCCAAGACTGAAGGTATAACCCTGTGACGAATGCTGAGTCGCCTGGTCGTCGGCCGTAAAAGCGTCAGAGTGTCCTGTGAGTACCACTGAAACCCGTCCTCCAAGCACGAGCCCCCGGCCCGATGTACTGCACAAGTAACGAGTACCCTCTTCGCAACATCAAAATGCACCTTTCGGTGTCTACCGGGTGCCACGTAGCGAGCCAGGAGGCTGAGAGGGTACGCGGAGTCAAGTCGTGTGCACGTCATCAGGTACATGAGGCAGCCCACAAGCTCTGGGTACGGACCACTTGGCTCTAGGAACTCGTTCGAATGTGGAGCTGAGAGCGAGTGGCCGGTAGACAGAGGAGTGGGCTGTGGCGAGGACCACGTGAAGCCGAAGCGCTGAAGGACCTGGTGCACCATGTGTGACTGAGTGAGGGTGATGGTGCGCCGTGCTCTGTCCCGGGTGATCTGCAAACCAAGATAGCTCCGCAGCTCGCCCAGATCAGTACAGGTGTGTCTCTCCTGCAGCTCCGCCTTCACTAGGGCCAGTGCCTCAGTGTCAGCATTAGCAATTACCAAGACGTTGACGTACACAAGGATGTAGAACACCGGCAGAGTAGTGTCGGTGCGTAGATACAGCGACGGGTCAGCAGTTGAAGGAGCAAACCCAAGAGCCGCAAGTGTCGTCCTCAGTGTGTCGTGCCACTCGCAGGGCGCCTAACGCAAGTCATACACTGGTCGCTGTAGGCTCCACTGGGTACCCTCAGGAAACGACCCAGTGAAGCCCTTTGGACGGCGCAACCGGATGGCCTCGTGAAGGCTATCCTGCAAGAAAGCTGTCGAGAAGTCGAGGGAGTGCAGCTCGTAGTCACGCTGTGCTGCAACGTGTAGCAACACCCAAAGAGTGGTCATTTTTGGGGTAGGGGAGAAGGTCTAAAAGAAGTCGGCCCTTGCACGGTGACTGAAGCCTCAAGCAACGTAACGTGCCTTGAAGGCAGGCGGAGAACCCGGCGGCCGCTTCACTCTGAAAATCCACATGCCACTGACAATGTTCGCCCCAGGTGGGGGAACCTCGTCGACGTAGGTGCCTGTGGACTTCCAAGAAGCCATCTCTACGTCCATGGCTGTCTGCCACCGAGAGGAGTACTCACCCGAAATCGCCTCTCTGTAAGAGCGCGGGGTGGGGATGTCAAGTGCATCCGGGTCTCCCTCAGGGGCAAGTAGCATGGTCGCAAGATGGGGTGCAACGACCGCAAGGCATTCCAGCTCCTCCTGCCTGTCCTCAAGAACGTCATAGCCAAGGGCAGTCTCACCCTCGATGTACGGAGGACAGGCAAGGACAGGGTCAGAAACAAGACTCACAAGGTAGTCGAGGCGGTACACAGCAGCAAAGTCAGCGAGCTGAGCGACTAAGGCAGATGCAGCAAGAGACGAGAACGAAGGGTCAGTCACCACCGTAGCAAAAAAGCGAGTAATAGTCAGACTGGATGCACGAGCAAGGTCAGACGGAGGGTCAGCAACATTAGGAAGAGAGGACGCAGGAGGTAACGACAGGATAACACGCTGTGGAACAGGAAGGACGGGGTGTCATATCGTGAGTGCCTTGGATAGCCGGAGCACGCTAACGACAAATACGAGGAACACGAGTATGGACAGCAACTCTAGGCTCGGGCTCAAGGTCAAAGCTAGACTCAGGCTCTCGACGCTCAGGGGTAGAAGCACGAGTCTCAGGCTCTCGAAGCTTAGACAGGAACTGTGTCACCGCAGTGTAAGGAGCAGGAGTAGGAAGCGGGGAGTGCGGTAGCAGCGGCGGCTGAGACTGGTGTGCCAGTGGAAACAGTAACGAAGGAGTAGTACCTGCCGCAGGGAAGTCAGTAGCACCTGGCGGAAGACCAAGAAGGTGGCGAAGAGCACCAGCAGCCCCCGTACCTCCAGCACGAGCAGCTCCACCAGTACTCTTAGCAACACCTCCAGCACTAGTAGCACCAGCACCTCCAGCACCACTAGCTCCGGCAGCGCCAGCACCTCTAGCACCAGCAGTGCCTCCAACACCTCCAGTGCCAGCACCTCCAGTAGCATCTCCAGTACGAGTACCTCCATGACCAGCAGCTCCAGCACCTCCAGTACCTCCAGCTCCAGCTCCAGCGCCTCCAGCACTAGCAGTACCTCCAGCACCTCCAGTGCCAGTAGCTCCAGTAACACCTCCAGCACCTCTAGCACCAGCAGTACCACCTGCTCCAGAAGCTCCAGCACCTCTAGTACGAGCACCTCCAGGACCAGCAGCTCCAGCACCTCCAGCTCCAGCGCCTTCAGCACGAGCAGCACCAGCACCTCCAGGGTCAGCAGTTCTAGTAGCACCTGCAGCACGAGCAACACCACCAGCTCTGGCAGCTCCAGTACCTCTAGTACGAGCACCTCCAGGACCAGCAACTCCCGCAGCTCCAGCACTAGTAGTACCAGCACCTCCAGTGCCAGTAGCTCTAGGACCCTCAGCACCTCCAGTACCATAAGTACCTCCAGCACTAGCAGCTTCAGTACCTCCAGTTCCAATACCTCCAGCACCAGCAGCAGCTCCAGTACCTCCAGCACCAGAAGCACCTCCAGCACTAGTAGCACCTCCAGTACCTCCAGGCCTAGCAGCTCCAGTACCTCCAGCACCAGTAGTACCTCTAGTACATCTTGTAGTACCTCCAATACTAGCAGCTCCAGTACCTCCAGCACCA